ATTTATGTTCTTATACCTTAAATACATATGTCTTATACTAAAAGCTATAAAATTTGTAATTAATGAGAAAGAATATTAATTAAATTATAAAATGATTTTCAATTAAATTATATTTCCTGTAATTACAAATTGTATTTATAGTATCATACAATTTTTCATAGACTGATCTACATTCAATACGCATCTCTATGTCGCAATCAAGCTTGGTCTATAAACTTTCTGATACAACCACTGATCTTCTTCATCATGTATGAATGTAACATTTTGACCATTGATAACATGAACTACGCACAAAGAAAACACTGATGCTGATAGTATATTAACTTCCTGAGTGCGAACGCGAACGTTTTATAATGACTCACAATCTGTGATACAGAGTAATAGTAAAACGCGTTTGTAGCACGTGTTTCAACAAAATATAATTACTTATACACCAGATTGGTAATATTATATTTTTTCATGAATAATGAAATGACCTATGTAACATATTTGAACTGTTGACATTTAGTTAGTGTTAATCTCGAATTTATGAACATCGAGTATCATGCGAGAAAAATGCAAAGCTACCCTTGCTTTTGACACGAGAAGGCAACGAGTCAAATAATCATTTCATTAATGTAGATGACGAAGAAGGTTGTTGTTACACTTTATTGGATTCTTAGAAATAACAAGTACTTACAGCATACCAGAACAAGAAGTACAGACAAACGAACCGATTGTCATGTTGACGTAAGTTGGACCTCGCTGATGGCAGTCGAAACATTCTTTGTTACCGGGTTGCGAGACCAGCTCGCGTAATATTTTCAAATATTTCTCATCTTGCTTTCTCTTCGCAGAAGCCATCATGTATGAAGATACTTTGTAATTCTAAACGGGACAGAGACACGACTCCTTTCGCGGTCTGCTTGCGGAACTGACTCAATTTTCTGTCACGACAATCGTGCGTGTTCTGTAACACATTCTAAAAATGTTTCTCGAGAAAACGGATCAAACGCAAACCTTGTTCGCAACAACTTTTTAAGGCGAATTTACATTCAACGAACAGTTTTCTACATATTAGAATAGGAAAATTCATTGGTCAGTTTTTCAGAAATGATTGTAAAAATTTGATTTGAAATTTAAACAACAAAGGAGTTTATACGATACAACTTAAATTTGTTTTCATTTTATTTAATAATTGTACTGTTTAATTGCAGCTAATAATCACTGTTTAAAATTGTAAATAATATTTATAATATGTACTTAAAAGTGTTAATGTTAATGTTAACTTAAAAATTTCTTATATCAATCTTTTCTTACTATAACGAAAATCTCTTAATATGGTATTTAAAATAGATTATATAGATTATATAATTTAAAGATAGGCAAATATAAAATAAGCGAATTTGATAATCTCTAGAATGACTATCAGAAACTAAAAAGTACCATACTCAGATATATGATTACGTTATTTATAATAGATTTGAGTTCCCTTGAAATACACTTTTCAGAGAACGCAATATGCTTTGGCAATAATTTTGGAAAGAGAATATTGTGTGTGGGCTCACATTCGTGACATCTATAAACATATACAATTATACATATGCATATATAGTTATATATATATTATATAGTTTTATACATATAAATAATTACACGTGACCTGTCAAAATAATTAAGAAAAGTTAATTACCGGGAAATATTAATTCTGACATACTAGGATTATTTACCATTTGTTTCGAGCAATTATAATTATAAAATTATGAAACATTTTCATATCAATAATTCGTGAAAGTATTATTGATTTTTCATAAATATTAAGTAAATAGGAAATAACTTCGCAGAAAGATTTTTTATATCTATTTATAAATCTGAGTGTAATACGTAAGATCTTCTGTGCCAATTACATTTGGTTATAGTATGTATAAGCAAAACAATCGTCGAAAAGTGGACAGTCAAGGTTAATGTACATATATGATACACCGAAAAAGAGTTTTTACTATTTTAATCATCGCCTTCAAACAGATTTATCTCGTATATCGAAGTATATAATATTTTGAAACTTCTCTTTTGAAGAGTCTATTGCTTTCAAAAAATAAGTAAAATTAATGTTCGTGATATGATTACGTGCAGTGTGAACTACCAAAAATAATTCAAGAAAAAATTAAATTTAATTACTTCAAATAAGATGACATCTCTTGTTACGACACCTACAAATATAAAAAGGTTTAAAATTTTTTGTACTTTTTAAGCTGTTCGATAGAATTCATTACTTTTATTGTAAAACAATTATTTTAAATAAATACTTGTGTTATTCAATTTGCCAGATTTTCCCAAATTAGAAATGTACGACAAGGTAGTGTTATTGATTTGGACATTGATATGTTCCTTAAAATAACGAATTATGAAGATACTGTTCGACAACTTGACATTTATTATGGAATTGGTATGAATATTTATCTTTTATTTATATTGCCATTAATTTGATATTGTTTTTCTACATGTAAATTTTATACATATCCACTAGTTAAAAGGCAGTTATTGCGTTATCAAAGTTGTATCACAGGATTGTTTCCACAAGTTTCAAGTGATAAAGTTGTTGGAAGCGTACGAGAAAGTATTTATTGTGCTGCTGCTATATGGAGTTTATATCAAGCATATAGGTGATTAAGTTATTTAAGTATTGCTCTAATAATTATAATGCACTTCTTACCATTGAGGCTATTGGGTATAAGTCTTGTCGTTTTAGAAAAATAGTTCTAGCATTTTGCAAGCATTGCAGCTGTCAATGTATCACTCGACTTCTGATGAAACTAGCTGCAATGCTTGCAAAACATTGGGACATTTTTTTCAAAAGAGCTTTCACAACTTTAAAGCTCTAATTATAATGCACATACTATATATATTATTATATCTTTTACAATAATTATAATATTATGTACATTCTCTATGATTTAGGCGAATAGATGATGATCGTGGAAAATCATATGAACTTGGTCAATCAGCTGTAAAATGTATGCGTGGAATTTTAGAATGTTGGGTGAAACAGTCTTCCAGAATAGAATTATTTAAGCGTAATCAATGTAATCGCTTTGCATTGCATTGTAAATTTCACTTAGATACTGGTGATGAGATTTTCAATGATGTTGCTTACAATCACTTACAAGTAAATATAACATACAACATAATACTTTCCTATAATAGTTTGTATATATTATATTAATCTGATATTTATATCATAGACAGTTTTATGAAAAAATAGTTTATAATGCATAATTCTTACATTAATCTTTATCTTTTCTAGATTGATATTGTTTCTCTATATTTAATATTTCTTGTACAAATGATTTCTTCTGGATTGCAAATTATATATACCCAAGATGAAGTAGCTTTCGTACAAAATCTTGTATATTATGTAGAAAGAGCATATCGTACACCAGACTATGGCATGTGGGAACGTGGTAGTAGATATAATGATGGTACACCTGAAATTCATGCAAGTTCTATAGGTATAGCAAAAAGTGCTCTTGAGGCTATCAATGGATGTAATTTATTTGGAGAGAAAGGAGCTTCTTGGTCAGTTATATATGTTGATATTGATGCACACAATCGAAATCGTAGTATTTTTGAAACAATGCTTCCAAGAGAATCAAGTTCAAAGGTAAGCAATACTCATAAAAACTTTTTTGTACAAAATATTTATTGTTGTGTATATATGTGTAGAGTGTAGATGCAGCTTTATTACCAACAATATCTTTTCCTGCATTTGCTACTCATGAAGACGTACTATACAATGAGACGAAGACAAACATAGTTGGCAGATTGAAAGGCAATTATGGTTTTAAGAGATTTGGAAGAGATGGATATAAAACAATTTTAGAAAGCAAAGATCGTCGCTATTATAAATCTGGTGAAATCAAGGTCTCTGATGTATTTGATCGTTAGTACGTTATTTTTGAAAAATTCATTTAAGTGAATTTATTACATTTGTAATTCTGTCTTAAATAATTATGCTACTTTCTTGTAATGTCATTAATTCAGTGCTAAGAAACATTCTTTTCTGATATAGGAATTCGATAATATCGAATGTGAGTGGCCTCTGTTTTACATTTTCATGATAATAGACGGCGTTTTTAAAACTTTGCCAGAACAAGTTGAACAATATCAGAATTTATTGAAAGAAAGAATACATAAAGATATCAATGGAGGTATATTGCTATGAGAATAAATTTAAGTACACATAATAAGATAAGAATACTATCACACTTTTCAAAATTAAATAGATCCTGTAATACCTATGTATTACTATGTATCTGAAGAAAATTTGGAAACAGAAAGAAATGATCCTGGTAGCACTTACCGTATAGCAAGCAATGAAGGAAGAGGGCGAAGAGCTTCTGGAGATTCTGAACCCATACCCATCTATTTGTGGAATCAAGCTATGTTTGTAATTGCACAATTACTTACTGCTGGTCTGCTACACATCAATGAATTAGATCCAATTCGACGGTATCTACCTTCATATAATAGACCACGGAAAGCTGGAAGGTATTCAGCTTTTCAAGTAAGTAAGAATGCGCATACTCTTTTCTACTAAACTATCATTTGTATAAATTATTTTGCTTATGTTTATTCCATACAGGCTAAACCCAGTATTGTAAGTAAATGATAATATTTGTATGTGTAGTTCAGTTTTTTGCATATATTTTCTTTTGAAGTCTGTAAATTAGATTGACAGTTTAGCACTATCTAAATATTGCATATACATTTGAAGCTTTCAAAATAGTTAAATGATAAACCATGCCTAGTAGAATATCTTCTTATGGTTTTATTAGACTTTTTCAATCACTATTACTTGTTTACTGTTATATTGGTAGTTATATATACATATATGTATATATCTTTAAAGCTTTATGGTAATGTAATAGTGCATGGAGCTTGAATGAAGGCATGATTTAAGTTAATCCTTTTTGTGATGCTTGTTGCAACTATCTCGTTCTTCTTTTTCAGTGATTACTCTATATGTACTATGGTACATATTTCTATTTTTATCATTTCTTTTAACACTACTATTTTTATCATTTTTACTGCATTAATTATATATTATTCATTTTTTGTTTTATAAACATTTTTACTAAATTATAATGATGCATGATTTATCTATTACAACATTTTTGTACATCAGGGTACTCATACTGATCTTGTAGTGCAAATCGTTCTTATTGCCGAGTCTATGCGACTACAAGCTATGATGGCAACATATGGTATACAAACGCAAACTCCACACGAAGTAGAACCTGTTCAAATATTGTCATCTATGCAATTAGTAAAAGTTTATGAAAAATTAGGTGTAAACAGTAAATTAAATTTACAAGGCCGACCAGCCAGACCAATTGGTTCTTTGGGTACAAGTAAGGTATGTTTAATGTATCAAACAATAATTTTAAACAAAAAACTTATCCTTAGTTACTTTTAGGTTTATAGAGTATGTGGCATGACAGTGCTCTGTTATCCTTTGATATTTGAAGTATCAGAATTTTATCTTTATAGAGATATGGCATTATTAATTGATGATATTAAGACTGAACTTCAATTTGTGGGTAAATATTGGCGACTTTCTGGTCGACCTACAGTATGCTTACTAATACGGGAAGAACATATGAGGTATTTATTAATTTTTGTTGCGATTTCAATTAACATAAAATACATGTATTATAAATTATTTATATTTATTCTTACTTTAGAGATCCACAATTCAAGGAAATGCTTGATCTCTTTGCAATGCTAAAAAAAGGTTACTGTGATAAAACAAAAGTTCGAATTGGTCGTTTGCAAAATCTCATTTCATCTTCATGCATTGGTAATTACTACGAAATAAGTTATGAATTGTTCATTGGCTATTAATATAATTTATTTTTATGTAATATAGAACACTTGGATTTTATAAACACAATTGAAACAGATCTTGAACTTACACAATTCAAACAATTAGAACATGATTATATTGGATATCAAAGCCTCACAGATGTACCCAAAGCTTTAACTTATGCTGATGACATAAAAGATTATTCTGTAAGTTTTTCTTCTAGATAGTTACATAAATGTAGATCCGTTTTAATTATTTCATATTTCAGTATTACATGAAGGAGCCATTGTACAATATATTAACTGAAATTCGTAGTAATAAAAATCTTTATTCATTGTGTCAACTGTATGGTATTTTATTAGAACGAGAGGGTATTGATTATGAGATTAATGGAATAACAGGTACTATTTTATGCATTTAAAAATTACATGAGCATGCTATTTTGTTGCATACTTAATCTGGTATTTCATTTCAGTTGGTGATCACTTGAGATCGTTGTATCAACAAGCAGGCTGTCTTAGATTTTGGATGGTTGTCCGTTATTGCAGTAGCTTATTAAATCACACAGTTGATAGTATCAGTCCTTTCATAACAGGCGTCCTTGTTAAAGGAAAGCAGGTAATTTTTATATTTTCATTTAGCAAAATTTTTATTATATTTCATTAACTCTCATTTATTGCTAATACCAGATAACAGTTGGCGTTATTGGCCAAGAAGAAACGGTGTTTGATAAACCAATGACACCAACAGAAATTCAATCGGTGATGTATTCTACAATTCAGCCACATAACGTTGTACAAGCTGTTTTGCAACAAGAAGTTTTATTATACTGTGGTAGACTTATCGGAAGAAATCCAGAAATGTTTAAAGGAATATTGAAAATTCGTATTGGGTATATAACAACACTTATGTTACAGATATATTTGTAAAAATATTTTCAATAATTATCGTATTTTATATATATTTACAGATGGGTTTTAGAAGCAATAAAGCTGTATTTACAGATGTTTGTTAAAAACCCGAAACCGATCGAAAATTATAGTCCTTTTGAAATTCGTCGATTCTTAATAAAAGTACTAACGGTTAAAGATTGGGCAGTCAGTAAAAGGTAAAATTCTGACATGCATGTCAGTATTTAACAAATAATCAATTTTGTCTAAATGAACATATGTACGATACAGACTCACAGTTTTGGGTCGCAGAAGACTTGAAGGATGTCTCTGTAGGGTACCTGCACATTTTTATAACTATGTTTGGGAAGTATTATTGCGATGTCCAGGTGGTATTTGCGTGAATGGGCAAGAGTTACCTCAGCAACCTACTCTTTCTAATATGACTCGTTCCGAATTGACATTTGCATTACTCGTAGAATCATTGCTTCATCGCATACAATTACCAGAATACCGTCAAATTATTGTAGAGGTATTATTACTTAGTTACTTATAGTTGTCATTCTCATGAAAAATTTAATTTAATAAATCATATTATTCTTTTTCTTACATAGCTTCTTACTACAGTCTCGACAATTTTACTTAGAAATCCGGAATTGAGTTTTCAAAAGCAATTGAATCTTAATAAACTTGTTGAAGATAGTTTTCAAATGTATTGCAAGGTACGTGCAAGATGAGTAAAAATAAATATATATTATCGTTGTTAATAAATATCTAATATCTTTCAGGATCATAATGTAGAAGAAACTAAAGATATGTCACCACTTTTCTCCGCCGACTATTCGATAACTACTGGATATCTTGCTAGAGCTGTAGTTAACAATGTGCTCACTGGAGGTTGTTTTGCAACTATTAATGATATCAACGATGCAATTGAAAATCGAGAAACGTGTAAGATTACATAGTTACCATAGTTTCCAAATGTGTTAACAAATTATATTTATGTAAGAATAGTGACCGATTGTCTTAAATGTATACCTACATATTTGTATATTTCTTCAAGAATATGGTTTATGACCATTGAAGTTATATAAAAGCTACAGGAATTTCATTTAAAATTTATATTTATGTACGAATCATAATGTATGTGTGTTACAAAATAAAGTTTTCAAATACATTAAAGGAAACTGAAATGAAATGTATATGCAACTGTACAAATGTAAAGCAGTGTTGAAAATCATCTTTTAGCAAAATTTGTATCCATCGCCCTTCCACTTCGCTGTATATTATTTATATTTGCTTTAATCCGTGACGCTACCGACCCCAATTCTGCAGCAGCAGCTAATTGTTTCCTAACAAAGTCTTGATTATATCCTTTGCTACTGTCGATTTCTTTCTTTTCGTCTTCTGTATACTTTTTAACATTCTTTTCCCTTTCCTTATCCCTCCATGTTGCATTTGCCATCATTTCCTGTCTACGTCTTTCTTTTTCTTCTTCCGTAAGATTGGGTTTTTGTTTAGGATTCCTTTGATCTTTATACCGATTTCCATCTTTATATTTCTCTTCAATAGTACAAGCAAATGAATTAGTACCCCCTTTATGATTTAATTTATTTGCAATATATTTATCCCCAATAGTATTTCTGTTACCGTATCCACTTTTATATGAATTATGTTCCTTATCTCGAGAAGTTTTATATTGAAATTCTTTATGCCTATTTTTATCTTCATCTCTTTTAAATTCTCTATATCTCTTTCTTTGATTTGAGCTGTCGCTTTTTTCTTTGCTTGAACTACGATTCTTTGACCATTTCTCGGGTATCTTTCCTCTTCTCTCTTCTCTTTTGTCAAATTTTTCAGTATACTTTTCCCTATCACTTTTCTTGGGTCGAGTACTATTTTCCTTACTCCTGTTTCTCTTTTCCTTTGCATGTTTTTCTGTACTTTCATCACTTGTATCATCATCAGTACTGCTGTCAGATTCACTGCTTGAACTACTTTTACTCTCTTTTCTCTTTTTCTTTCGTTTATGTTTGACTTTTTTCATTGATTCCATTAAGTCTTCATCATTAATTTTGTCTTTCAACTTTTTGTATTTAGCAGCTAACAATATATCTAATTGAGTTTCATCATCACTGTCTATATCTTGTTTGTGTTTTTTCCTTTTTTTTTGTTTCTTTTCAATTTTACTCTTTTTTGACTGTTGCTCCAACTAAAAGATTAATAATTTAATAATTAATAGTTATTGAACATCTGATAAAATCATGTTTACTTACCAATTGTCTTAGTTGTTTTAATTTAACAGGATTTTTCAACAGCTGATTTCTTGTTTCCATTTCTTTCTTCTTTATAGCATATAAAGGATCTTCTTGCATTTTTCTTGCTAGATCAACTTGTTCATTACCAGAGAAAAAACGTAATGACGGTGGAATACATTCTGGAAATATAGGTAAGTTGCAATTACAGCTAAAATATACATAATGCAAATTACATTGGTAGTTAATCTAAAAGACAATGACAAAATATTTTTTTATATATGAACACAACTGAAGGAGGTATTTAAGCAGCTACTTTTAGATAAACTACCCTGTATAAAAATTATAACAGAAAATACCATGTTCAACGTGATTTCTGGGTACTTGATTCATATCATTATCCTTTTCTGTCTGAGCCATTTGTTCGAAAGATTTGTCAATTGGCCGGCCAAGTAAATACTCTTCTCTATTGATCATTTGATTTGGTCCTTTGTACATCCAATCCAATTTTTTATCATCCTTTTTTTCTATTACACCTTGTTCCATTGCATATTTTTTTATATCCTCCCTATCTTTCTCCATTTCGATTTCTTTCTTCAATTCTGCTATCTTCCTCTTCTCTTGGCTTTGTTGTTGTTCTGCCTTCCAAACTTTTTCTATATTTTTTATGGTAGATGGGTGCCATGATTTTTTCAAATTCTATCTTAATGAAATTTTAACATTATTGAATACATGTCCATACAGTTTATATTGCACAAGCAAAGCAAATTGTATTGTAATTTAACTTACCAAATCTCCACCACCCATTTTTTGACGAATCTGTTATGTTAATATTTACTTATTTAAAATATGATATTTACTTCACATAACAACAGAAATACACATAACGAGCACTTTGCAATTGTGTATAAATAACATAATTACATTTAAGTACCACAAACTACAAACGTACAGTAATACCTACTTATCACGAGTGATTTCTACATTTCTACCTCTATTTTCCGAGCGCTTTTATTCTCACTCCCCACCATTTTAATGCGCATCCAGTTCCGCGCAGTTGATTTAGAAAGAGAACGGAAGATGATCGAGACAGACAGAGCCCAACGAGCTCTATGGCGAGTGTTCACACGAACAAGAAACCTAGCCGTCTCACTTTACCATACTTTACCATACTTGCAATCTCACTCTATTCGCGCATCCGTTTGCCTGGTGCTCCATCTGAAACACTCGGCGAGATATTCGACTTGAACTTTTCGCCCTGTAGGATTTTCTACCATAATTTAGTAATTATTAATTTAATAATTATCAACAAAAAAAATTCTCAAACTCAGACATTTAGAAAATTAGAGCTAAAAATAATTAAAGATTGCAATAATTCACCGGCAAAAAAGATTAAAAAACTATATCAAAACAATTTTAAAACGTCTCAGTAGAAATTTTGATCCGCAATCTACAACGATGGCTGTGTTTGCGGGCCTGAGTTACATAGAAAATTGTATTTTATTCGGGCATCGACATTCTCACTTCTGAAGACAATAAGGACGTACTTTTTTGTTTGTATGAATTTGAGACCCTGGAAAGAGCCGTTATTATTAAATAATGCAGCCTGTCAAACACAGGAGATTGTAAATCGTCCGTCGCTAAGCCGTATACGCCAGGGGCTCGAAGTCGAAAAGGCCTAGCATGTGCCAGGGCTCGGACAAAAAGAATTTCCGCAGGTATTGACTATTCTTTTATTACTGGTAATGACCTTAATCATTAGTAAGGACCTTACTAATGAGATTGGACGATTACAATGGAAATCCATTGGCATCATCCAATCCCATTTGTGATGGGTAATTCTCCCACTCCTACATTCCTGGATGAAAGTTGTAAAGCAATGAGGCATCTGAGAGCTCTATGTAATAAGACGCTATGTCACAGAGTATATAGCCTTGTAGAGACGGAACTTTCGTCACAATTTTTTAAATTCATGTCCTCGAACACCTCAAAATTTAAAGACCTTAAGGTGAGTTCATATACCTTAACACTAGAAATTGGTTGCTATAAAACTCTAGAAGTTTCTTCTTTGCGAAAGTTCTCCGTAGGCAAAGTGACATCTCTATGTATGTATATGTTATCTTTTATGTATGTATATGTAACCTTTTATGTCTGTGTGCTTTGAAGTTCTGGTTCAGAATGATTCGAGTTCTGAACGTGATGAAAATATCGAAGTATGACACATTAATGTGACGTAATAAAGTGGTGAGCAAAGTGTGCGTTTTACTAATTCAATTCAGAGTTTCCTACATGTAATGAATAATGTACATGAAAATTTGTGGGCTTGGACCGAGAATTTCATGGAGACAATCGTTAAATTAACACATGACTTAGTGGACACAGTATCAGACACTGTTGGATTAGCGTTTGATTCGACCAATTTTATTATTACCGACGTACTCCAACAAAAGTTAATTCATTATTTTCACGAATGCACATCACTATTAGCATTCGACGACTTTCAATTGCAATTATTAAAAGCTTTTTCGTTAACGTTTATTAGTACCGTCGCTCTGATTTTCATCGCTTGGCATATTTATGGTCCAAGAATTTCAGAACAATTTATGGAACCAAGTAAGGCAATTTACATTTCTTCCGAATATGTACATATATTGAATTATCCCATGAAAATAGTTTTAACAGTTTCTTTATACATTTACCGTAGTGAATATGAAACCATTTTTATTATTTTGTTAGTTTAATAATACCATATGCATATCTACATTTGTATTTTTTGTAAACTGTTTTGATAACAGATAAGCAGTGGATTTAAATCGTATTAACCTACATTGTTTAGCATGCATACCTAAAAGCAAATTGTTGATTTATAATACAATAAGTTTTTAGTTAATTAATTTTCAATGTTATATCTATGAACTAATAATGAGNCATGAAAATAGTTTTAACAGTTTCTTTATACATTTACCGTAGTGAATATGAAACCATTTTTATTATTTTGTTAGTTTAATAATACCATATGCATATCTACATTTGTATTTTTTGTAAACTGTTTTGATAACAGATAAGCAGTGGATTTAAATCGTATTAACCTACATTGTTTAGCATGCATACCTNCAAATAAAAATTAAATGTTTAAAAAATTGTTATATTTTATAAACTAATATAATTTTTCAAATA